CTTGAGGATTCAAGATTTTTCACTTTCTCTGCCCTACTTGGTCATTGCTTCAGCAACATCTCCACAAATATTTATTGAGAATCTCCTACGCATTCTTCTAACCCTGAGGCTGAATAGGGGAAAAAAATTATATATGTACTCCCTTGCTCCCCTACAATATTGGATCAGTGGGGGAGACAGATGACAGGTCCAGGAACTGGCTGTGTGACTGTGGGTAAGACCCTTTCCCTCTCTGGGCCTTTGGGTTCTAGCTTATACTCTACCCCTAGACCCCCTGCTTAAAAGCCTTTGATGGTCTGTTGTTGCATATAGAGCAAGATGGGCAGCGCTGGCCTGATATTCAAGGTCCCTCAGAGTTGGACTCAAGCCCACCTTTTTCAGCCCATGTTCCCTGTCCTCCCACCCCCATTTTGCTCCATTTTTATTTAACCAACACTCATTTGTCACTTTATAAGTGCCAGGCACTGTCTAAATGCTTCACAAATTTTAACTTGTTTGATCCTCACAGAACCCCCTTGAAATAAGTATGGTGATTCGCATCAACTCCATTTTAAAAATGAGGGCACTGAGACACAGAGAGGTAGGTGACTTGCTTAAGTGCATACAGCTGCTAAATGGTATGGCTGGGATTTGGACCCAGGCAGCCCAGCTTCTGCTTCCCGCACTCCTCTGCTGCTGCATTGCCTGTCTCTCTGTCCTGGACACCGGCCCTACTACACTCTCCTTTTCTAGATATAACTCAAAAGCCATTGCCCACTTCCAGGAAGCCTTCCCTGATGCCTCCCAGGCTGAATGAATTCTTGTCTTTTTGTTCCCACAATGCCTTGCATACCCTGCCGCACGGCAGCCCTTCCCATGGAATACTGTTGTCCTGGTTTGTGTATTATCTCCTCTGCTGGATGTGGAGCTTGTCAGCCTGGGAGTCTGTGTTTCACCCTCTCTGCCCTGTCTTGCCTTGGCCAGCGTCCCTATATCATCCATTCTCCATACAGCAACCAGAGGCAGCTTTTAAAAACAAAACCAGTCTTCATCAAGCCCCTGCTTAAACCATGTAGTGACAATGCATTGTATTTAGAAGGCTCCGCGTGGTCTGGTCCCGGCCCTCCTCCCCACCCTCGTCCCCTGCCCCTCTCTCCCTTGCTTACTCTGCTCCCTCCACACTGGTCCCCTGCCTGTCCCCAAACAGTCCAGGCTCACAGTGGGGCCTCCCTGGCAGAGCTATTTCCTCTGCCTGGAATGTTCTGTCCTTCATCCTCACATAACTGACTTATTATTTGGGCCTCAGTTCCACATCACCATTGCAGACAGACCTCCCTTATCGTTTGTTTGTACGCTTAAATGTTTTCATATTTACCTTTTAATTGTTATTAATGTCTGCGTCTACTACAAGTCTGTAAGCCCCACGAGAGCAGGGATCTGGGATGTCTTTTTCAGTACCTGGAAGAGTGCCTGACACATAATAGCCACTCAATGAGTACATGTTGAAGCTAGAGTAGATGCTCACCAAGGTCTCTGTGGGATGCTACAGTTCAACTAAGCCCAGATAATATAATATAATATATCTAAATTGGTCTCATCTCAGGCTAAAAGCTGGGTTAATTTCACAGGCTGAATTCACTATCTTTTTCACCTCCCTACGTCTTACCTGCAATCATACTCCCAGAAGTAAGGCAATTTTATTGACTATTCTCTGCTGACTTCCCTTCACCAGGGGTGCTTAGAATTTCTTACATGTGTTTTAGTTTGTCCACCTAAGACTCAAGGAAACTCGTGAGAGATTGCCCTCACCATTTTGAAGGGAGGGACATCCCTAAAAAGCGAAAATGCTGATTTGAGAAGTGCCCAGGGCCCAGTGAGAGTGCACACACCCATCACGGCCATCATATTTCATCAGTCATGGGAGAGACATCATGCTCCAGGAAAGGGAAAGAGCTCTGAGTCCTGCTGGGGCCTGGGCCAAACACTACTCACTTAACACCTCAAAAGAGTGGCGGTCTGTAGCCGAGAGGGGTGTGCAGCCAAATTCAGGGCAAACGGGAGAAGAGAGGCTTAAGTAAGCAGGATGGGCAAAAATGTACAGAAATAAGGTCTGGATGTCTGACTGCAGGGCCATTGCTGGTGTGCAGCAGCCAAAATATAGGTACCACCATCCTCAACTTTCTTCAGAAGGATATAGAAGGGAAATATGTCAAGACATCTCAGAGACCGACTGCCATACACTGTCATCCTCTTGAAAACCAGAAAGGACCTTTCTTGCCTCACTTCTGCCTCTTCCTTCTGGCTTCTTTGAGTTGGGTAAGGAAATGGCACCCCAAAGTTAGGGGCTGAGAAAATCTAAGGCCTGATCTTCCGGGTGAACTGAACAGAACTCTTAATTATGAGTTCAGAGGTCTTGGGTCTGGTCTCAGTTCTTTGGAAATTTGCATAAATTCCTCCCCATCTCTGACCCTTGCCTTCCTCAGGTGTAAAATGTGGTTGGTGGGTGTGATGATTTCCAAATCAATGATTTCCCTGACCTCAAGCCTTCTATTTTGATGAGCTTACAGTTCAGATTACTTTGAAAGGGAAGCTCTCACTCTTTTCTTTTTCTTTAGGGGTTCAACTTGTCTTTTGGTCAGCCAGCCTTGCCAGTGGTCACTGGCCTCTAGCCACAGTGTAGGTAGTGGAGATCATTCCGGCTTGGTGAAATCTGTTGAAGGTTGATGTACCCCCTTGCTTTTTCTGAAATAGTTTCTCTAATGCATGTGTCTTTTCACTATAGTGTGGCCTCTCTCATAACTTTCTGCTAAGGACAGGAATGTTCAGAACACCCAGAGGACAGAGTGTCATGATTTGAGTTAGTGACTTCCAAGGTGAAACGACATTCAAATGATGGAAGTTGTCATTAATCTTAAAATCCTTCTGCATGAAATGATATGATGTCTTGGATTTGCTTCAAAATAAGTCTGTGTGTGTGTGTGTGTGTGTGTGTGTGTGTACTATGTATTGTGATAAGAGTGGGTGTGGGTATAGATGAAACAAAATTGGCCAACTGTTGAATTTGGATAATGGGTATGTGGGGGTTATTATAATTTCCTTTCTATTTAAAAAAATATGTTTGAAATAGTTCATCATAAGGGGCCCTTTGAAGACTGATTCCAGCGTTTCTCTCCACTCTTATTTCACAATCTCCATCCCGAGGACCCGCTGGCACAGTGACATCACTCTAGTGGCTGGGACTTCACACTTCAAAGCCTTTACACACAGTTCCATCTGCCCAGGGTACTTTCCCACAGCTCACTACTCTTGTCTCTGTGGTCCCACAGCCCTGTATACCCACCTTGGTTACAGCACGTATCAAATCATATTGCACTTGCGTTCCTTTCTGGTTCCCGTCCTGGTCTGTGTCTTCCTCAGAACACTTCTCTACCCACCCCACTTTACTGTCAGTGCACATAAGAGTCCTCAGCACATGTTTACAGAGGGAAAAATAACAGGGATGGTACCTGCCATTTTTTGAGCACTTATTATGTGCCAGGCACTGCCCTAATCTCACTGTATAGGTATTTCACTAAATCCTCATTACAAGTGGTTACTACTGACCTGTCTTCTCAGAAGGTCACTCTCCCAAGGTCACGTGCCACTGAATGACAGACCTGAGATTTAAACTTAGAACTGAAACTACTCTTCCCTTCTCCCTGCGTCTGGGACTTTAAGACTTCTCTATGAATCTTAAACAACAGACCTAGGATTTGGGGAGGCTGGGCTGTAGGCTCAATTCTGCTACAAAATTGCTGTGACCTTGGGCAAATCACCTCTGTCCCCTAAGCCAAGTCTCCCCATCTCCCGGTGAGACTATCAGTGAGCGAAAGGATCACGTGATTCAAGGGCCCTCCTAGCTTCAGCTAACAGAGAAAAGGTTTCCTCTTCCACATTTGGTCTCCTGCCGATGAACTGGCTTCCCTGCATAGGAACCTCCCAGTTTCTCAACCTCTTTTCTTGCTAATTGCAACCTCTCAGAGCCAGGACGGGTTCCCAACCTGCGGCCCAGACCCCCCTCTTTCCTCATCCTTCCTTGCAGGCTTCACTCTGGAGGTGGGGGCGGAACCCTAGGCAGGAGGGTGCGGGAACATGCAGCCGCCAGCTTCTTGAGGCTTCCCCGCTGTTTCTCGGCCCCCTCCCCCCACGGAAACTCAGCCTCACACTTTCTAGGGATGTTCCGGGGACAGCCAGAGTCAGTGATTGCAGCTGCCAGCCTCAGGCATCTGTGTTAGGCTCTCCGAAGGAAGTCCGAGGTTCTGAGCTAGGGCGGAGGTAGGGGATTTGGAGGAAAGAGGGGGCGGCGCACTCCTTCCTCCTAGCCTAGGCCCGGCCTGCCCAGCTGCAGCCCGGGACTCTTCAGTACCCGTCTCCCCTCCCACTCTCTTTCTGACTTCCAGCTGGGACCCGCCATTGCACAGCCAGGCCTTGGCGAACTGCAGACCCAAGCCAGATAC